TGTTTTAGTTATTTTGTTATTTATTATTAAAAAAGGTGACATGGTTGCTAGATTTTGAATATCTCGCTTTTTTGGCAGTCTTGATTTGGCCTCTTTCCATTTGTTTATTACTGTTTGTTCGTGTTGCAAGCTGTGCACCATCTTACGTTGGTGTTAACACTTTTAGTATTGTAAACACAAGTATTGTTAGCATTGTAAACATAAGTAATAAGTAATCAAATACATTGTTTGCAAGAATCTCAAAACACAATGATGCCAAATGGCTTTAAAATACAATTCAAACAGTAACCCGGAAATTTAGGCAGTCCCGAGCTTGCAGCGTTCCCTAGTGTAGAAAACATCATCCATATTGCCTTTGAAACTCAAGTCACTTTCTACCATTGAGTAAAGGAGGAAAGTAACTTTCTCCCTCAAGTTCATCCTCCAGGAGACGATTGTTGTCTCTAAGTGAGTAATCTTCTCAACAGGTGATCTCCCTCCCTCCGAAATATTTCTACTCTGTTCATCTCTTTTTGGAAATCTTTTTCTCTCATTGCCCTTTTGAAGAACTGATAAAAGGAGTGTTTTGAAAACCGATAGCCTACTTTTTATTTATAAGCTTGTAATTTATCATGAAAGTTATATTTGCTAATTATTCGCTCTTTCCATATAAATTTTATTTATTTAGAAATAATATTTTTCTTGTTTTTATTCATTTTGAGAGTAGAATTTATTTTTAAATATATTATTCCCTTTTTTTAGCTTTTTTTTCTTCTTATTTTTTAAAGATACTTCAGAATTAAAAAAATTAGCCTATGAATAGAGTGGGTTTAATTAAATCGATGCAATGACGTAAAAGTCTTCCAATATTCTATAAAGCATCACAAAATTACCATTTTCTTTCCCTTTTTTTTAACAAAAAAAGAATAAAAATATGTCGTACACTCATTTGTAGGCTTGAAAAAACATTTACGTTAAATATAAACTTTAAGTGTTGCAATTCTTCCATTCCATAAATAGCTTAAACTCTAATGGCTGGGATAGTTTGTTTTTCCACAGTAAGGAAAAAAATAGCTAGTACACAAGAGCACACATATATAGCTAGTACACAGTCAAGATCAAGCTCTTAGCTGTTTTTAGGGCTTTAATGTACATACACAGGAACATAAAAGTGTTATGAAATTTTTATTTAATTCAGTAAATGAAGAAAAATATGAAAATATACATATGTAGGGAGTTAAGCAATATAATCCTTTATTGAATATTTTTAAATTCTTTAAAAAAATGAAGTAAAAGAACATTAGTGGAGAAATTACTTTTTACGGAAGAAAAATACAAACGCTATCAAAATACAATGAATCACTGCTCTGGAAGGCAAGACTGAAAATTTTAAAACCAGTTTGATTGCCAGTGGAAATAGGAAGAATGCGAATTGTCGTTATTGTAAACACCACGATCTTTCATCATGATAAATTAAAAAATAAAAATAAGTTGTAATAAAAGAAAGTTGTGACAGCCAAGCTCCCTACAATCAACAATAACGTCAAATTATTATTTTTTTCCAATCAGATTTTTCGCACAGTTAGCAAACAAGAAAAGAAAGCTGCAAGCATAGATCTCATCTCGCGTTATAAATCTTATTTGAAATCTCGATGACTACTTTTCCATTTTTTTCAAGTATATTTGGAATATTAATTATCATTTGAATAATAAAATAAAAATGAAATTTAAAAAAATATTTATGAAAACAATAGTATCCACTGCTATTTTTCAATGTTATTAAGCAAAAGAAAAACAATATTTAATCAAAATCATACAGATATTTAATAACATTTTTTTATATATATGAAATATATTTTCATAATTAATACGATTTTAGTTCTTATGTATTTAAAAATATTCATAAATAAATTTAATTATGATAGTAAATAAAAAAGAGAGCATTTATTTATGAAGTAAAAGTAAAAGAGCGTTATTTTGTGTCTTGAATTTATTTTTAGTTTCATATTGAGTGCATAGTCTTAAGGTCTTAAGAATGAAATAAAATATTGAAATAGTCAATTTCTTGAAATATGTTACAACTTAAAAAAATATTATAATGCTAATTTTTCATGAGTTTCTAAAACTGAAAAAAAATATGATTGACACAATCCCAGTAGATGTCTCTGAAAATGTTAAATAACTTATCTCAATTTAAAAAGAGAAAATCGAAGGGCTTTTCTATTTTAAACATATATTCACTTAACGCGATGTACCCACTTTCCTTTACACCTGATCTTATGCTTCCGGAGACGAAATAACTGGATCATCGAAGCAGTTCGGTGTTAATTCCTGGGAAACTCAAAAAGAAGAAATAAATACAACATCTAACGATTCGCATGAATGCTTGCTGAGTGCTAGAAAAACGTCTCTTTAGTCTAGAATAAAAATTCACAAATCATCAAAATATTAATATTCGAGG